AATTAACTAACGACTGGAGGCGTAACAATATATATATATACACAAAATATGTAACACTCATAAACTCTCAATAATGATAAGTTATAGTGCAATTAATATATTATGTCCATATACAGAACAACAAAAAAGCAATACAAAATATCAATGATAATAATAATATAATAAAACAAATACTAATAATATAATAAAAAAATGAATAATAATAGATATTTACAGTAATGCAGGAAACCAGAGTCTCTTACCTTTACAAGAGCCCTGACACAGGCCCTCTAATGCAGCATTTGACTTCTGTCCTTATCCTTCAACTTTCATTGACTCTCACACTTGACCTATATTTACCTGACCTCTCCACTTTCATCATTGCTTTGACAACAGGCTATCATGGAACCAGTCACAGTACATTCAACACTATCTGGTTGTTATGAAACACAGCTTGGGTCTTACACAAACAACCAAAACAGGCTGGTTACCACACAGGCTCTAACCCAAATCTTCCAACCATAGAAATTCCTTAACCTGATACTTTGTCTCCTATCAAACTTCTTTTAGATACAAGTTTAATGCAGACTACAGGCAACTACAAACAACATTAAATGTGCATTACTTCTTGTTTCCTGATGCATTTTAATGTATTTCAACTGAACTTTGTACTGAAACAACTAAACGAAAATGTTATTTGTGCTTATGAAAACACATCAATCTGCATGATAGAGAATATACAGTAATAACCAAATAAAATGCTGTGTACACCAACTTTGGTGTAACACAACTAACCATTTGTGGATTTCACTTCCTACAGCTAATTTCTCCCACTCACAAATTTTTCGATTGGATCCAATAAAAAAACTGTATATTACTGCTAGTTAAAATGCCAGGTGAAACTGTATTTTCTTCCACGTATAATGTTAGCCTAACCATTGCGTTAATCCTTTTCATGAAGAACGCTAGCTACCAAATACTTCACAAGTGAAGTAGTCTCTCACCAACATTAAACAAATATCGTGTGCACTGATTCTTCAGATAAGGTTTTACAGACCAGTAATCACAATTTATTTAATATTTCAAAGTCTTGACATCCAGATCAAATCTTTTATTTTCATTCTTTTGTTGCTGGATAGTTATGTGCTCAGTTTAATTGTTAGATATACGTGAATGTTCATTTTATGTTTAATACAAGAGTATTATTTAGTTTATATATTGTGTGGGCATTTGTACCAAATCCCATGTAAGTCGGTCGAAACACGGCGGAATAATGGTAAAAAAACAAACCTAAAATTAAGCTTTCTGTGGCACCTTTGTAATTACTAAAATTGGCAAGTCCACCATTTTTGTTTGTCAATGTGTGGGACCTGTAGAAAAGTATATTTGTACCAAATACCATGTAAATTACTGAAAGTGCGGTCGAGTAATTGACTAAAACCCCCAAATTATGCTTTTTTGTGAGCTCTGCTTCCCCCCTCCCAATTTTTTTCAAAGTGAAATCTAACATTTTTGTATTTCAATGCATTGGGTGCATGAAAATTTATATTTTTGCAAATTTGTTATCTTGATTGTTGAATATATGACCACACAGGAGTCCGAAATATATATTTTTGGGTTTTTTTGACATTTGATCCCAAAAAATCCATAGAAAAGCCTAAATAGAAAATATGAAAAAGATTTTTGAGCGTAATCGACCAAAGTATAACCTTACCAACTTTCAAGCCAATCCACTTAGAAATGAAAAGTCTTTAGAAGAAGAAGAAGAAACAACAGAAAAACAGTATGTCTCTCTGTGGAGATATAATAACCACTTTATTAGAACCCTTCACACATAACTCTTCATGATTAACTAATAGTGTTATAATGCAGATTGTAATAACCACTTTATTAGAACCCTTCACACATAACTCTTCATGATTAACTAATGGTGTTATAATG